CCTTCTTTTTGCCAAAATTTTGATTTGTCGGAAGTTTTTCATTTTGAAAAAGATTTTGAGGCTTTCCCCTCACAAAATTAACCTCATCAACATTCTCATTACCCCTGTTGGTTTTCAAATCCAGCTCTTTGCTTTTTAAACCATTCATAACAGTTTCAAGATTCACATTATCTCTACCATACTTAATAGCAGATTTCACATCACTGTAAGAATCAGGTATAGCATTCAAGAGCACAATAGGGGTATAATCATCAATATGCTTATCACCAGTTTGCTTAATATCCTGAACAAGTTTGGTAAACACATCCAAATTATCATCCATATCTTTGGACAAATCAAGTTTGAACCGGAAAAATTTCTCAAGCAGAAACAACTTATTCGGCAAAGAAGTTTCAGTATATAATTCCTCTAATTTTTCCCAAAGTTCTTTAGCAGAGTCCAATTTACCAACTTTTCTTAACACAGAGTCAGATAAATTCAGAATAATCGAAGAATAAGCAAACTCATCAATGTCGGCCCTTTTCTCGGCCGACACATTCACAGAATGAGAAAGGTCAATAGCTTTAAACACCTTTCGCTGAACAAGAATACCTTTCATTTTCTGTTGCCAAATACCAAAATCAGATTTTCCATCGAACGGGATTAAGCTAAAAGCTGACACGGATCCCATTTTTCGAAAAAACACACAAGTTTTTGCACAGAAAATCACAACGAAGCAAATTTCACAAAGAAAATATACCAACGACTAAAGTACCACAAAGATACAAATCACACAAAAGTGAACACAAAGCAAATACGCACAGCGGAACATTACTACGAAAGCAATAAATCAAATAAGCATGCGGCTGAACCTCCAGCAAAGCGATAATCACACAAAAGCGATAAATCAAACAAGCATGCAGCTGGAACCTCTAGTAAACCGGTAAAATCACACAAATCACAAAGATCCTAGAAATCTACCAGCACGTTCCCAACAAGCAATCCCTAATCCCTGGACGCAATCCCCGTCCAGGGGCTATCACTACAAAAGCGATAAAGAGAACGGGTTTCAGTCAAGATACCTGAGCGAGCCCTACGAAAAGGAACTCGACTTACCTGTGGCGGCGAGCAGACGACCTGGCAAGAGCCAGGCTCTGATACCACTGTTGGGTGCTCGTCTGGCTCGACTCGCCGGGCCCGGGCTGGCCGCGAACAGTCCCGAACAGTCGCTGGTTCGTCCCGGCAGCACCCGGTTGGCCCCGACAACACGCAGTAGTCCCCGACAGCAAATGGTAAGCCCCAAACAGCCCCAGTTGGGGCCCGAACAGCTCCAAATATGTCCCGGACAACACCTGGTTGCTTCCGAAAAGGTCCTCGTCTGTTTGCTTCAAGTTGAAACCAGAAATTCACAATAAACAGACAAATTTCAGCAATTAATGAGATAGGTAAATTGACAAATGCTGAAAATAAAAGGAAGCATAAAATAGGAACGAGTACACCCTTTTGATGTTCTTGTACGAGGCCCGAATGTCACCGATTCCGCAATGATGGGGTGAAACAAGCAGGCTCAGTCCCCTTTCGTCAAACCCACAAAATGAGTCACCGAATATCTGACAAAGAACCGATCAATTGAACCCTTGGCCTCAATAACTCCGGCACTGCAAACCCAGGGTAACACCACCTATCGAAGCACAACTCTCGGCCCTAATTTCAGCCCGTACCCGAAAAAACCCCCAAACTCTTCTCGCTCTGCTCACACACTCGGCTCACACAAAGAACCCTAGGACACTCACAATCTCACAATCACCAAGATTTAACAAGATAAGAGAGGTTTTTTTTTTTTCTTTTCTTTCACAAAGTTGGGAAAAAACAGAAGAGAGCAAGCACATAGAGGGATTTTTCAAAAGCTGCGTGAAAATAACTTCAGTTGCTGCTTGAGAGTTCTCCACTCTCAGGTCCTAATTATCTGTATATATAATGACCTGCTTAGGGATAACTCTTCAATTTTTCAAAATGCCTGAGACTTCTCAAGTTTGTTAAAGAGGATAGGATAGTGATGGCTGCGTGGGAGTTATCTAACTCTTAGGGTTGCTCTAGTGGCTGCTAATGTTATGAGAATAAACATTAGACAACAGGTCATTTAAGTAGTGGGCTGCCAAACTGGGCCAGACCAAAGAGATTAGGCCATAAATTGTTAGGATATTGGGCCATCAATAAAATGTCATTTGGGCCACAACACCAACAGTATTTTGAAAAGAAAATATTTTGTTGCTCGCGAACCAACATGGGTCTCTTTTCCGGACCTAACCAATAAGATATTGAGTTTAACAATGAATTGGGTCCAGAGTTTGGACTTAAATGAATGAGAAAATTATACCAACGTCGAATTCATTCAAAAATATTTGCATATCGACCCGGATTTTTTATTTTTTTAGTTAGCAAATTTGAAGGATCTGCACAAAATATTTGAATAAATACGTGAATTTCTAATATTTATTTGTTTCTTTTTTAAATCCTTTTGTGATATGGCAAGTTGCTTAATGGTATCTTTCACAAATTCCCGCCTCTTTTTGTTCCTCCAAACTCTCTCTCCTTCATCATTTAATTCTCTTTTCTCTCTCTGGAAAAAAAGCCAAAAACCGACCACCCCGTCGTCTTCGGAAGCAATATAATACCGGCGAAGGAGAACCCTCTAACCGAGATCCAATTATGGGCTCCCCAACACTAAAACTAAGGTGGACCGCAAACTTGCCGAGAGGAACCTTCAATTTCAATCTAAATCCAAACATAGTGGCTCAAAGAAATCGCGTAGCGGAAGTGGAGAAGGAATTATGGACGCAAATATCTATGACGAGGTCAATGAACAACATCCGCAAAAGATGCGAACACAACGTAATTTAAAGTCTGCCACTTTCGCCCAGGTGTACGATCGCGTTGAACTCTTTGCTTCACATTTTTTCCGAATTTCAGAGGGTTTTGTTTCATCTGTTCAAGAAAATCTTCCTTTTTTTTGTTACTATTAATTGATGAGTAATGAAAGCAATTCTATGATCATAACTATTTTCTTGTCTAGTTTTTATTCTTTGATTAGGATTTAGGAGAGTTCTAGATTTGGTTTAGCGTTATTTTTATTGATTGAGTTCCATTTCTTATGACGATTTTTACATAGTTGCAAAAGATGATATTTGGTTTTGGAGGGTTCTCATGTTTTTTTCACTTTATGAAAAATTTTAAAGTTTTTTTTTTTTTTTTTTTTTCACTTAAACTGTACATATTATAAAGACAAATTTTAATTCATTCTACACAATAACATACAACACTTGGATAAATATTATTCGCGATGTATATTTATATTTTCAAATAAATCTTAACAATTCAATACAATACAAAAGTTAATAGATAAAAAATGCCCGGCGTAGACGAGTCTATACTGGTATATATACACGTTATGAAAACCGTCATAATAAAGAGTATATGTCAAGTATATATCTTATACAATGCTTGTATATTATACATAATTCTCAAATTAGTTTAATTTTTCATAGCTTGGAAAGTAATAACAAGATTTTAATTTTTGGCTCATTTTACACAATAGCATACAATACTTGAATAAATATTACTCGCGATGTATACTTGAATCTATTACAATTCGAGACAGTAAAAAATTCAATAGATGAAGAATGTCTGACATAAGCGAGTCTGTATAGTTATATATATATGTTATGAAAACATCACAATAAATAGTATACGTCAAAGATATATCATGCTATAATCCTTGTACATTATGCACAATTCCAAAAATATCTTCAAATTAATGTCCAACAATAATATTAGATGTCAAGTAATTGTAGCTCGACTATGTCGTATGATTGCTTTCGTATATAATCAGTATATTTTCAGCATATGTTGCGTTTTCAACCATTTCTTCAGTTGTTGTACATGCGAAATCCATAAATTTCATACGCCCATTTGATAATTATTTTATACAATTATCTATGTCCCTATACATAAATGGAGATACACTAATTTCAGGTGACATTTGTTCATAATGTGGGACAAACTCATACGAGTTTTTCGTCGTTCACTGGTGCCTTGATGATTAAAACACGACGAGAATTTTGTGTAATCAACTTCTCTCGAACGTAGAACTTAAGGTTGCCGTCATCATTTACGCACATTGGTGGAAATACATCTTTAACATGGTATTTTTATCTCAAGCACTGAATCTTGCAATTTGAGTCCCAATTTTTCAAGTAATATATGACGCAACTCATGATATCTTCAATCTTTTGGAACCAAAACACCGGATAGTTGAAAATTCATATATGTTTTCTACCCATACCGCACTATGATGAATGGATATCATCATTTTTACGCCACTTGAAATGATGAGACAAAAAAAAAGTTCACAAATTAAAAAAAAAAAAATCACGAAAACAAATTAACACACACAAGATAAACGAAAAAAAAAAAGCGACGTTAATCCTATATATTCATGTTTATTTCCAATATATAAAACTAATTGGAAAAGTAACAATATTTACCTTCAACCTAAAACACAACTCGCTTTTGATCTCAACGATACGATTTATTTTGTTCTTCTTCAGTGATTTAATATTTTAATTCACCCTTTTTGAATTTAAATTTGAAAATATTATTTCATAGGAATTAAACGACACTAGTACTAATACTCATGTATAACATGGATGTTGAGTTAATGAATATATGTATAAAGTTATTTATGTCTAATAACAAACCTAACTCCAAAGCAAAAATAATATAAAAACAACATCACGAAGCATATTTTCGCCATGTCAATATCCGAAGCGTTAGAATCTGCTACTTAGACTCAACACGTTTTGAATTAATTCTCCTTAGTTCCACTCTAATTACAATTGCATTAGCAGGGTTTAAAACGACAGTGCCTACTTAAAGCGAGTTCGCGATTCATTTTATCTGCACCTCGTTTCTAGGGTTTCCAGTTATCTCTCTGCCATCTTCTTCGCAAGTCAAAAACCAAAATGAGGTAAATCGTTTCTTCATTAACTTCAACAGTCTCGATTCACTTGTTCTTCAGTTCGAAACTTACAATCGCAATTCGCATCTCGCTGTTTACAGTTTGTTTAATCTTCTCCTTCTTCTAGTTTGGGTGATTGCATCGAAAATGTGAGAAATCTATGTACTTAGATTTTCAGTTTCAATTGATGCACGATTGTATGAGAATAGATTTCGATTGATACACGACTGTATGAGTATAGATATTGCTGGGTTGGAGGTACAATTTTCCGGTGATCTGTTATGTTTTAAGTTACTTGCTAGTTCTTACTCGTATATGTATGAACTGTTAAGAGAAAAACTCGTAGAAGGTTATTTGAAGAGATTATTCTGACCCATGAGGTGTAATGTTAAGTACTTCCTGAGTATTTTGTAGTGTGATAGTTTTAAGAAAAGTTTAAGTAAATGTAAGTGTTATTTACTAGTGTTTCGTGTCGAATGGAGTTAAGTGTTGAGCAATCTGCTCATTTATTACAGTGAATGCACCTCTACTTAGCGAATAGGATAAACTTGGGAAGTCTTGTGTATATGTGATGCTTAATTTTATAAATTAATAGCTTTGTAATGAGTGTTGTTCCTGTTTATAGTATTGATCCTCTAAATATAGCAATATCCTGTAATGCAGCCGACATCCTGAGGTAAAGTGGGCAGAAAGGGAGGACAAGGTGTATCTTACTGTGCTGCTGCCAGATGCCAAAAATCCAAAGGTCGGTGTTGACCCTGACGGGACATTTACTTTCTCTGCCGCTGCTGGTTCAGATAACAATCTCTATGAAGTCAAACTGAATCTACTCGATAAAGTTAATGTGGAGGTAAGGTGCCTGTCTCACATTTGATCTACGTGTAAATGTTGGAAATCTTGATAAGAGTTCCTGTGTGTTTCACAGATGAATTCATTTTTTATGTTAAATGAATGTTTCTTTTTTGACTTGATGGTTCTGAAACATTTTCAACCACCATATGTTATTGTAAGCTGTAAGCTTCGAGAATCTTTTCAGCATTTTTATTAAGAATTGGTGATATACCACAATGACACAAGTTAGGTTGGAGTTTGGGGACTTAATGGTTTATTCTGTAGCAGATATAACTCTATCTTGGTGTTGTTGAGCTATAAGAAAATTGTGTTTTGTAGGAGAGCAAGATAAACATAGGTGTGAGGAACATATTCTGTGTGTTGGAGAAAGCGGAGAAGAAATGGTGGACAAAATTGTTGCGTGGGGATGAGAAGACACCCCACTATGTGAAAGTAGATTGGGATAAGTGGGTGGATGAAGATGATGATACTGGTAAATATTGTATTTTATTTATTTATTTTTTTTTTTGCAGCCTTGTCTTTAAAAATAATTGGCTCATCTGTATTCTTGACAATTCCAACAGGTGCACCATCTGATCTTGATTTGGATGGAATGGATTTCTCGGTAAGTCTCGAATGTTTCTTGCTCTTAATCTGGGTTCCTTGTTACTGGATCAACTTATATTTCTCCAATGTGATCTGTTCTTCAGAAATTTGGTGACATGGGTGGCATGGGCGGTATGGGTGATATGTCCGGCTTGGGTGGTATGGGTGGATTTGGAGATAATGATGCAATGGGAGATGACTTTGAGGACTCTGATGATGATGAAGGTACTTTTTCGAATGAATTTTGTCTCTTTAATTTGAGTCATTTGTTAATTTGATTGTGAGTTTATTATATTGGTCTGCTGAGGGCTACGAGTTTGTTTTGTTTTGGCTGTTGTACTTTTAGTTAATAAAACCGTTTGTTTTGGCCTTGATTAGGAAGTGTAATTATAAAATTTTATAATTAGTTTAATAATAGAATTTTCAATTATTTTTTTTTTTCAAGTTGCAAATTGGGGAAGAGTATTTGGTTATATACAAACCTCAATGAAAGTTATGCTAAAACTTTCAAGTGTAGTTGTTAATCTGTAATATAAATAGTGTTTCTTGTAATCAAACTGACTATCCAGCTAGTTAATAATGAAACCATCTTTACCGGTTATAGTCTTCTCTGGTATAATTGTACTGTGTGTTACTTATGATTTCATCAAATCTATATACAATCGAACGTTGTTCACAACTTGCCTGTCACCGGTTTGTAGAAATCAAGAAGCCAGAAGTGAAAGGTGCTGACAAAGCAGAGGGAGAAGCTCCCAAGGACAAGGCAGAAACTGCACCGACCTCATGAGTGATTTTATCTAATGACTTACAAAAGCTCTTATATGCTTTCTGCTGGGAGTTTCTGAGTTTGGTAGTTAGCTACGTGAGACATGTTTCTCTGTGAAAGAGACGCGATCATTTTACCTTATTAATCGTTGTGCTGATGAAAACATTGTTATTTGTAGTCTCCCATTTCGTTCTATTTGTTGTGATGTATTTTTTTAGCTTAAGTTGGTGAGTGTTATATTTGAAATAGTTGAATTAACAAGTTCATGCAGTCCCTTGCTTTGTTCAACATCTTGTTTGAG